GGGCACCGCAAAGCGTTGTATCAACTTAGCATTGCATTGCATGCCGTGGCATGGCACGGGAAATGACGCCAGCGCTGCAGCGGGAGCACGAGTCGAACCGAGCGGAAGCGCGGAAAGGAGGCCAGCGCTGCAGCGGGAGCACGATTCGGAACGAGCGGAAGCACGGACATGAGGCCAGCGCTGCAGCGGGAGCACGATTCGGAACGAGCCGGGGCCCGAAAATGAGGCCGGCGCCTCAGCGAGAGCAGCATTGTGGAAAAAATGCAAGCGAACACCAAAATCCGGGGAAACCTGTGTGCTAAAAAGCAGTACGCGGCGGGGGAGGGCTAATATTATCAAACCGTCATCAGGGGAAAATGGAGAGTAGTATTCATATTGAGTAATTGTGGAGGGGGGGGCGCGGGGAGTGCGCAGGGGGGGGGAGAGGGGGGGGAGGGGGGAGGAAGGAGGAGGAAGGAGGAAGGAAGGAGGAAGGAAGGGAGAGAGGGGATAGAGGCAAGCTAGGTGCGCTCGCGTCATATCTGACGTCCTACCCCTCCCTCCCATCCCTTACCATGGCGCTGATTTTCTCTATCCGCGGACGCGTGTCGTAGCGGACCTGTGGCTCCGCGCGCGCGTGCGTAATGGGTGGTGGTGCACGTGCGTGCGTGCGTGCGTGCGTGTGTGCGTGGTTGTGGTGGTGGTGGTGGTGGTGGTGGTGGTGCTGGTGGTGCTGGTGCTGGTGCTGGTGGTGGTGGTGGTGGTGTGGTGGTGGTGGTGGTGGTGCGGCGCGGTGGTGGCGGGCGGATGGGCGCGAGAGAAAAAAGGCCCGCGATGGGGCGAGAACGCCATCCTGAACGACGGAGGCCAAACACCGATCCGAAAATGAGGCCCACGCTGCAGCGGGAGCACGATTCGGAACGATTCGGGTGCAGAAATGAGGCCGGCGCCTCAGCGAGAGCATCATTTTGAACAAAAAAAACGCAGGCGAAAACCCGTTTCCCGGGCATCCCGTGTGTAAAAAAAATACGCGGGGGGCGCTCGGCCCGAAAATGACGCCCGCGCCTCAGCGAGAGTCGTTTCCCGGGATTTCCCGGGAATCCTGTGTGTAAAAAAACAGTACGCGGAGGGTGCGCGGCCATCACCCGGACGCCATCAGGGGAAGAGGGAGAGTATTTTCATATTGAGTAATTGTGGAGAGAGGGCAGAGAGGGGAGAGGGGAGAGGGGAGACGGGAGACGGGAGACAGGAGATGGGAGACGGAAGACGGGAGACGGGAGACGGGAGACGGGAGAGGGGAGACGGGAGACGGGAGACGGGAGACGGGAGAGGGGAGAGGGGAAAGGGGTGGGGGGGAAGGGGGAAGGGGGAGGGGAGAGGGGAGAGGCAAGCTGGGTGCGCTCGCGTCATATCTGACATCCTACCCCTCCCTCCCATCCCTTACCATGGCGCAGATCCCCTCTCCACTCGCTCAGTCGGATGTCGAGCAGGGCAATGATCCCGAAAGGGTACGCGATGCATTGTAGAGCACGGCATGACATGGCGTAGAAGAGCACCGCAAAGCGTAGTATCAACCTAGCATTGCATTGCATGCCGTGGCATGGCACGGGAAATGACGCCAGCGCTGCAGCGGGAGCACGAGTCGGAACGAGCGGAAGCGCGGAAATGAGGCCAGCGCTGCAGCAGGAGCACGATTCGGAACGAGCGGAAACACGGAAATGAGGCCAGCGCTGCAGCGGGAGCACGATTCGGAACGAGCCGGGGCCCGAAAATGAGGCCAGCGCCTCAGCGAGAGCAGCATTTTGGAAAAGATGCCGGCGAAAACCCATCTCCGGGGAAACCTATGTGTAAAACGACAGTACGCGCGGGGGGTCGGCCATTTGCAAACCGTCATCAGGGGAAGAGGGGAGGGAAGTAGTACTCATATTGAGTATTTGCGGGGGGGGGGGGGGGGGGGAAAGGGGGAGGGGGGAGGGGGGGTGGGGGGAGGGGGGGAGGGGGGGGGGGGGGGAAGGGCAAGGGGAGGGGGAGGGGAGGGGACAAGCTAGGTGCGCTCGCGTCATATCTGACGTCCTACCCCTCCCTCCCATCCCTTACCATGGCGCTGATTGTCTCTATCCGCGGACGCGTGTCGTAGCGGACCTGTGGCTCCGCGCGCGCGTGCGCAGTGGGTGGTGGTGCACGTGCGTGCGTGCGTGCGTGTGTGCGTGGTTGTCGTGGTGCTGGTGCTGGTGCTGGTGCTGGTGCTGGTGCTGGTGCTGGCGCTGGTGCTGGTGGTGCTGGTGCTGGTGCTGGTGCTGGTGCTGGTGCTGGTGCTGGTGGTGTTGGTACTGGTGCTGGTGCTGGTGCTGGTTGTGGTGGTGGTGGTGGTGGTGGTGGTGGTGGTGGTGGTGGTGGTGGTGGTGGTGGTGGTGGTGGTGGTGGTGGTGGTGGCGGTGCGGCGCGGTGGTGGCGGACGGATGGGGGCGCGCGAGAAAAAGGCACGCGATGGGGCGAGAACGCCATCCTGAACGACGGAGGCCAAGCACCGATCCGAAAATGAGGCCCACGCTGCAGCGGGAGCGCGATCCGGAACGATTCGGGAGCAGAAATGAGGCCGGCGCCTCCACGAGAGCAGGATTTTTTGGTCAAAAAATGACGCCGGCGCCTCAGCGAGAGTCGTTTCCCGGGATTTCCCCGGCATCCTGTGTGTAAAAAACAGTACGCGGAGGGTGCGCGGCTATCACCCGGACGCCATCAGGGGAAGGATTCGGGAGCAGAAATGAGGCCGGCGCCTCAACGAGAGCAGAATTTCGGGAAAAAATGACGCCGGCGCGAGAGCAGCATTTTGGGAACAAATGACGCCGGCGCCTCAGCGAGAGTCGTTTCCCGGGATTTCCCCGGCATCCTGTATGTAAAAAACAGTACGCGGAGGGTGCGCGGCTATCACCCAGACGCCAGAAGGGTGGCGGGAGGGGGAGGGGGGACGGGAAGGGGGGATGGGGGAGGGGGAGGGGAAGAGGAGGGGGGAGGGGGAGGGAGGGGGACGACGGACGGGGACGACGACGACGACGACGACGACGACGACGAACGACGACGACGACGACGACGACGACGACGACGACGAGGAGGAGGAGGAGGAGGAGGAGGAGGAGGAGGAGGAGGAGGAGGAGGGAGAGGGGAGGAGGGGGAGGGGGAGGGGGGGGGAGGGGGGAGGGGGGGGGGGGAGGGGGGGGCGAGGGGGAGGGGGGCAAGCTAGGTGCGCTCGCGTCATATCTGACATCCTACCCATCCCTCCCATCCCTTACCATGGCGCAGATCCCCTCTCTACTCGTACAGACGGATGTCGAGCAGGGCAATGATCCCGAAAGGGTACGCGATGCATTGTAGAGCACGGCGTGACATGGCGTAAAAAACACCGCGAAGCGTAGTATGAACCTAGCATTGCATTGCATGCCGTGGCATGGCACGGGAAATGACGCCAGCGCTGCAGCGGGAGCACGAGTCGGAACGAGCGGAAGCGCGGAAATGAGGCCAGCGTTGCAGCGGGAGCACGATTCGGAACGAGCGGAAGCACGGACATGAGGCCAGCGCTGCAGCGGGAGCACGATTCGGAACGAGCGGGGCCCGAACATGAGGCCAGCGCCTCAGCGAGAGCAGCATTTTGGAAAAGATGCCGGCGAAAACCCATCTCCGGGGAAACCTGTGTGTAAAAAACAGTACGCGCGGGGGGGGGGGGGGCTAATACTTTCCAAACCGTCATCAGGGGGAAGAGGAGAGTAGTATTCATACCGAATAATTGCGGAGGGGGGGGAGGGGGGGGGGAGGGGGAGGGGGAGGGGGAGGGGGAGGGGGAGGGGGAGGGGGAGGAGGAGGAGGTGGAGGAGGAGGCGGAGGAGGAGGAGGAGGAGGAGGCGGAGGCGGAGGAGGAGGAGGACGAGGAGCAGGAGGAGCAGGGGGAGGAGAAGGAGGAAGAAAAGGAAAAGGAGGAAGAAGAAGAGGAAGAGGAAGAGGAAGAAACATAAGAAGAAGAGGAAACAGAGGAATAATGATAAGAAACATAATAATACAAATAATAATTAATAAGGAAGAAGGAGAAGGGGCGAATAATAATAATAAGCAGAAAAGAGCAGAAGAAACATACTCATGATAAGCAGAAGAAGCAAATGGAGGAGGAGGAGAAGAAGGAGGAGGAGGAGGAGGGGGAACATGTTGAGGCCAGCCCGGGGTACCTTGGGGTGCTGTTTGTGCGCAGCCCGAAACGTTACCACCTCCATGCCCTTCGCATCGAGAACAGCGGGTCAAGCACCAAATTCTATGTCCGATTCGACACCCGACTCGGTGAACATGTGAGGAATTAGCGCAACGAGAAGGTATAGGAGAGAGGCGTGGGACATCCAACGTGACGCACGCGCACCTGGCTTGCACCTCTCCTGTCTCCTCTCTTTTGCCTCCTCCCCCCCCTCTCTCCGGGAAGCCCCGAGGAGTCTTTGAAGAGGCTCTCAGAGGCCTCATGACGGCCTTCGCGCTCGCTTCCCCCAATCCCCCTCGAAAGCTCTCTCCTCAAGCGCCACCTTTCCTACTCAGACCCTCGACGTCATGATTTTGCTCACCACGCGGACCCCCGGAGGCCTCGACCCATTCCCCCCGGACCAGCCTCTCCTCCCGAGTCGTTCTGTTCACGGCCCCAGCTGCCGCAGCGAGGGGCCCCCGAGGCCGAAATTGACGGCAAGCATGGTCCGTCGCAGTTCGTCCGCGTCGCGACGGGGTCTGGATGCCTCCATCCCTCCTCGACAGCATTCCACCACCTCGACGCGTCCATCACCGCTTCGGCGTATTGGCCTGGGGACTCGAAGAAAGTGGCGGATGTGGCTACGTGCCCGCCCGCCCGGGCGCGCACGTATCCAGTGTCCACCGCTCCCCGAGTCCCCGGGGGCGCGGCCCCACGGCAGTTGACGTGGACCCGTGTTGGCGGCGCAGGCTTTCGCGTCTGCTGCCTCCCCCCGCCGCCGCCGCCCTCGAGCTCGCCCTTCCCCGACGAGGCGTGGCCGGGGCCGTGGCCTCCCTGCGCGGAGGGCAAGTTGCCCCAGCAGTTCGGGGTCGAGGACTCCGACGGCGAGGCACCTCGGGGCAGCATGCCGCCGCCGCGCAGGACGTCGGGGGTGGCCGTGACGACCACCCGCTCATCCCCACGCCGCCCTTTTCCACTGGCACGGCGGGGGCCTGCGCGCAGACTCCCCCCAGAGGTGGTCTTCCTCCCTCTCTCCATCCTACCCCTCCTTGTCCCCGTCCTCACCCTGAACTCCCCCCCCATACACCCCTTATCCTCCTCCCCCTTCTCCTCGTCCTCCTCCTCCTCCTCCTCCCACATATCCCTCCTCCCCCTCATCCCACTCCCCCGTTTTCATCCTCTTCCCCATCGCCCATTCATTTCTCCTCCTCCTCCTCCTCATCCTAGTCTCTCCTCCGCTTCCTTCCTTGCTTCTGTCCGTCTTTCTTTCCTTCCTGCCTTCCTTCCTCCCTCTCTTCGTTCCTTCCTTCCTTCCTTCCGTCAGTCCTTCCCTCCTTCCTTCTTTCCTTCCTTCCTTTCTCGTCCGTCCTCCTCCCTTTTCCTCCCTCTCTTCCTTTTCCCTCTCACCTTCTCGCCTCTCACTTATCTTCGTCCTCCAACCTCCTCCCTCCTCGTCCTCCTCCTCATCCTGCTCCTCCTCCTCCTCCTCCTCCTCCTCCTCATCATCATTGTCAGCATCATCATCATCATCATCATCATCATCATCATCATCATCATCATCATCATCATCATCATCATCATCATCATCATCATCATCATCATCATCGACGTAGGGTACGAGCGCTCCGGCATGCTCGCTGCTGCCAGAGATTGCTTTGGCCGGTTGGCGGCGAGCGGCGTGTTCCTCGACGCGTGGGGGATGCCGCAGCCGGAGCCTGATGCGCAAACAGGTGCCCACGCATTTTCGCTCGAGCCTGCGGTAGCTGCAGGCGCAGCGCTGCGGCACCGTCGTAAATTGTGGATGCTCCGAGCGGCCGATGCCGTACTCTCTGCAGGGACGCCTGAGCAGCGGAAGCACTGGCTGTCCGGAGGCGGCCCGGAAGGCGGGCTTGGTTTTACAGCCAACGCCACTGGGGATTTGGCCCCTTGGTCGGACGATGAGTTCCGCATCAATTTCCGCCGGCGTCTCCGGCTCCCGCTCTTCGGCGTTGCGTGTTTTTGTCAGCACCGCACGCGCGCTGGAAGGGTCTGTGGCCACGCACTCGACGAGCTTGGAGATCACGCGATATCTTGCATGATCGGTGGAGCCCACAACCGTCTGCATGATGGAGTCTGCGACGAGCTCGCAGCGTGCGCTCGCACAGCCGGCCTTGCAGCCACACGCGAGGTCGTGCTTCCAGAGCTGGCCACGGCAACCATGCGTGAGCCGCGCGTGGACGTGCAGCTCTGGGGCCACTGCTCGCTCCCAATTTTCCACGGGGACTTCACAGTCGTCAGCACACACAACCGCCGCGGCCATTCGGCGACCGCCGGTGCTGGCGCGACCGCTGCCGAGGCTGCGAAAGTAACGAAATATGGAGCTCGAGGCGGCACCAGCGCGCAAGGCCTAGCACTTGAATTCGGCGGCCGCCACGGGCCGCAGCTGACGTGTCTGCTGCAACAGCTGGCAAGCCTCACCCGGCACCAGAGCCATCTCCGTGGCACGGGTTGTGCACGGTCGCCGCTCCGCGATTGGCGACAGCGGATTGCAGTCCTCTTGGGGCGAGCCACTGCGGTGCTCGTCTCCTCCGCTACCGCACCAGCGTCCCAATAGTGGATCGCTGGTGCACCTTTCTTGCACAGGTGGTCACATCGAAGCTTGTCCGCGCAGACGTGTCCAAAGCAGCAGCAGCATCAGCATCATCATCATCATCACCACCATCATCATCATCAGTACCACCATCATCAGCATCACCATCAGTACCATCATCATCATCAGCAGCATCCTCATCATCATCATCATCAGCAGCATCTTCATCATCATCATCACCATCGCCGACAGCAGCATCATCAACATCATCAGCAGCAGCATCATCAGCGTCATCATCACCCCTCCTCATCTTCCTTCTTCCCTCTATCCCCCTCGCCCTCACCCCCCTCGTCCTTGTATAGTGTTTGTTGCCCAAGCCGCGCCCCTGGGGCCCGTTGAGGCTAGCGTGGACTGCGTCTGGGGGCTGTCCGTGCACAGCCCCACGCCTTGCCACTCCCCCGTCCCCGTCCTCCACCGTGGTGGACGAGGGAGGTCAGGGGCAACTCTCGGGGGGATGGGCTCCGGGGGAGCGGGGGCGCATCGACCCCCGATCGCCCGCCGATGCCGTGCCTGCTGCCCCACCCCGCCCGGGAACGTGCGGCGGGCTCGTTGTCGAGAGCCCACATCCGCTCTGTCGGCGATGTGCCGCCGATCCCAGGTCGACGTGGCCCCCTCTGAGCCGGTCTCCCCCCCCCTGCGCGTCGTTCCCCGCATGGAGGCGGGGGGGGGCTTCAGGCCTCCAGCGACCTGAGTCGGCGGCGAGCGAGGGGGGAGAGCGAGAAGAAGAGGGCCTTCTCAGGAGGCGGCGGGGCTTCTCGGAGGCCCTCGCGCCCTCTGAGAAGTGGTCCGTGCCTTCGGGGCAGGCTTCGAAAGCTTCTCCGAAGGCTGGAGGACTTCCGAACCTTCTGCGAAGACCTTCTCCCTCTCACTTCCCCCCAGGGCGCGCCGCCGACTGAGCCTTTCGAGGGAGGAGGAGGAGGAGGAGGAGGAGGAGGAGGAGGAGGAGGAGGAGGAGGAGGGAGGAGGAGGAGGGAGGAGGAGGAGGAGGAGGGAGGAGGAGGAGGAGGAGGAGGAGGAGGAGGAGGGGAGGAGGAGGAGAAGGATGATGATGAGGAGGAGGAGGAGAAAGAGGAAGAAGAAGAGGAGGACGAATAATAATAAGACAACTAATAGTACGAATGGTCATGATAATCATAATGATCCTGATAGTCATAATAATCAGCATAACATTAATAATAACAACAACAAAGAATAGTAATAACAATGATAATGACAGATGATAATAATAATGATGATATTAATACTACTAATAATAATCATAATCATAATAATACTAATAATAGTAATATTAGTAGTAGTAATAGTAATAATAGTAAAAATAATAATAATAACAACGATGATATCAGTAATAATATCAATAAAAGTAATAATGTTAGTAATAGTACTACTAGCAAGAAGAATAATACTAATATTAATAATAAGAAGAAGCAGAAGAAGAGGAGGAGGAGGAGAAGCAGGAGGAGGAGCAGGAGGAGTAGGAGTGGCAAAGCCCGCAGAGAATTCCCTGGGGGGGAAGGTCGGCGGTCCAGAGACGGGGCCCGGGGGGATGGGGACTGGACGCCGGGGAAGGGGGAAAAGCTCAGGCGATCGCAAGCATGGGCCAAGGGGCTTGGCATCGTTCGGACGTGTGCATTTTCCCTTCGGCGAGGACCATCGAGGAGCATCCTTGATCATCTGGCGAAAAAAACACGCAACACGCACGAAACCGAAAAAAACACAGGCAATGGACGTCGGGGCGATGGCCAGGGGGACGGGGAGGAGCTCTCGGAGCTCTCTCGGGCGATCGCAAACATGGACCATAGGGGGCGTGGATTGGCGACTGGCCCCGCTTCCAGGGGAATTTCGCGGATGACTTCCGCCGCCGAGCGAGGCGGCACCGGCCGCATTTTGAGCAGGGCCTCTCCCCAGATCCATGGGTTTGGCGACCGCGCGCCAGATCCATGGATCGCTAAGCCGTCTTTGCGCGCCCCCGGGAGGTGCCCCCGCCCGAAGGTGGCCCCAGGAGTCCCCAGGAGTCCCCCCACGGCCTTCCGAGCACCCCTCACGAGGCCCACGAGGGGGCTACAAAACCCATCCCCACGGTCCACGGAGCGCGTCCTGGGGACGTTGGGAGGGGGGGGGGGGGTCGAAGCGGGAGAGGGGGGCCCGAGATGCAAGAAGGGGGGGGGGGGTCGGACCAGGGGGGGAGAGGGCCTCGAGGATGGGAAGGGCCCCGAGGCTGGATTTACAATGTTTCCGGCACCGCGTGCTGAGGGCCCCATCCCTCCGGGCCCCCTCTCTGGACCACCGAGAAGGGGCGGGTGGGCCCGGCGGCGAGCGGGGGGGCACCGTTGGGCGGAGGGGCGGGTCTGTCAGGAGGCAGGGGGCCTCTTTTGCGAGCGGAGGGGCTCCGCAGAAGAAAACGAAGAAGAAGAGAATGAGACAACCCATTAAAAACAATATTGATCGAGTTTCTGCACATCGTCTTGATACTAGTGCATCCATAATCACAGTAACATTCCTAATCATAGCAGTAATAATACCAATAATAGCAACGATAAGAATAACGATACCCATGACACTGATAATACGATGATAATGCTAATACGATGAATAATGTGAATGCTACCAATAGTAGTAATCAGAATGGTAACCATATGAGGACGCAAGCAAGAAGAAAACGACGAAGAAGACAAAGAAGACGAAGAAGAAAAAAAAACACGCCCCCCGCGCCTCCGAGGGGCGGGGGGGTTGGAGGTTTGAGGTTTGCCGGCGTTTTCGTCGGCTCTTGGCGGCTTTCCGTCCTCGGGGTGCTCTCCAGCAGCCGCGCCTCGCCGGATCGTCCCGAAGGGCTCCGCCGGCGGCAGGAGCGATGGCCCGAAGACCACCAGGGGGTCATATCGGCAGGCGGCCTGCCTGACCCAGCCACCTCTCGCTGCGCCGCTGGGCCCGGGCCGGGTCTGTTGGTGGGCGTGGCGGTGGTCCCGCAGTCGACTAGACGTAAGGGTCGACCGATTCGCCGGAGTGGCCTCCGGTGCGGGCACGCTGGGGCGCCTAAGTGACCCCACGCGAGGCGGCAGCAGCGTCTTGCGCGCTCCGGCTTGGCCTCCCCGCGGCCCACAGAGGGCAGCGCGCCAGAGGTCACTCTTACCCAGGATCACTTTTTGCGCGTGGCCGACTCAGGACCTTCACGTGCTTGGACAACCGCGCGGCAAACGCCACGTCGCAGTCAACCTTGGCCGTGGCGACGTCGAACGCCGCGTCGCCGATGAGGCGCAGGCAAACGCAGGACCGTGTCTCCTCCCCCTCATCGTCCTCCTCCGCCTCCTCATCGTCGTTCTCCTCCTGCTCCTCTTCCTCCTCGCTCTCCTCCTCTCCACCTCTCCCCCGTTCTCCACCTTCTCCTCATCATGTTCCTCCTCCTGCTTCTCGCTCTCCCCCCCCTTTTCCGTCTCACCCTTTCCCTCATCATCCTCGTTTTCGTCTTCCTCCTACTCCTTTTCATCGTTTTCACTCGACCCCCCTGTGCTCCCCCTCTCCTCCACTCCCCTATCCTCCTGCTCCATGCCTTTCCCGTAAGTGTGCACAATACCACATGGACGCACCACCAGACGTGTCCGTAGGCTGGGCCAGGCGTTTCTCGTGAAATATTACCAAAACTTACGATCCCGAATCTACAAACTCGAACAGGGAAGATAAGGATGGAGGGCGGGTAGTTTTCAAAATGCGGCTCTCGCCGTAGCACCGCGCGCATTTGCATTCAACAAGTTCAACATCTACACGGATTGAGGGGCGTAGTTTCCAGAATGCCGTTTTCGCTTTAGAGCTGCGCACGTTTGTTTTCAAAGTCTCCAGCAGTTTATATCATGGAGGCTGGCTCGTTTTCAAAATTCGGCTCTCGCTTGAAATTTCCTTTAATCAGATGGCCCACGAAATTCCAAATTGTGCCACCGTTGCACGCATGGAGGGCGGCTCCTTTTCAAAAGGGGGCTCTCGCTTGCTACCTCTGTACCAAGAGATTGTCCTGGTGAGGAATCCAACCGCCTTCAAGTGTGAGCACCGCAAGGCAGGCGGGACGAAGGAGGGGGAGCCCCTCCATATGGAGCTACGACACGTTTGAGGGGTGTGCCGAAACTGGAGGGGGGCCGCACGTGGACGCGCCCGCTGGGGCCTCCGGTGGAGCTCCCTGCGGGGTCACGAAGCGCGCGAGGGGTGCGCCGAAACGGACTGGTGGACGCTATGCGCGCCCTCCTGAGGGTTCCGGCGGAGGTCCATGCAGGGGCTATGCTGACCTGGGCTGGGGGACGCTACGCGACCCTTCCCCCCGAGGGCTTCGGTGGAGCTGTCAGTGGTGCCACGAGATGTGCGAGGGGCGTGCCGACATGGGCTGGTGCACGCCATGCGACCCTCCCGCCTGGAGGGCTTCGGTGGAGCTTCCAATGGGGCCGCGATCTGTGCGAGGGGAGTGCCGACAGGTGCGTGCGGGAAGCAGAGGCAGGAAGGGGAGGAAGGAGGAAACCAGGAAGGAGGTATGGGAGACGCGGGGCGCTGCTGGTTCCAAGCGAGGATCAAACCAGACAGTGTGGTTGGGAAGCACAGAACACTGGAATTGCGCAGCACTCGCACGGATTGAGGGCACATGGTGTCCAACATGTTTGCCAGCATGGACCCCAGACTGTAAGTTGTTGCACAGCGGGTGCGTATGTTATGTGGTGCAATATTCGTGTTGTAAATTATGTGGTGTAATATTTGTGTTGCAAGGTCTGCGGTGTAAGCTAAGTGCTGCAAGTTACGTGCTCCAACCTATATGGTGTAGCATGTAACATATGCCGTGCTCGGTATGGGGTCCAGGGGCATGGAGTGCTCGGTATGGTGCAGAAAAGAGGTTGCATGTAAGACGCGTTGGTTTCCTCATGTGGTGTCATTTTGCTCTGGGAAACAAGAAATGTAACATATGCCGTGTAGATGTAAGAAATGCGGCGCAAGCTATGCGGTGTAAGTTGTGTAGCGTAAAAGGTGAACGTTGCGTGGTGTGAGCTACGTGTTGTATGCTGTGTGGTGTACGTACCGTGTGGTGTAGGCTATGGTGTGCCAGCTACTCTGCAAGATCTATGTGGTGCAAGCTATGTGCTCCGTCTTGGGACCCCCAAGCTTTGCTGGCCGAGCCGTCCCTGGCTTCGGAGTCGAAGCGCGGAAGCATCTGGATGATGACGGCGAGCGTCAGATCTGTGAGGAGCGGAGCCGGCTGCGGGGCTGAGATGGGCATCGCTGGTTCTGCCATTGGATAGGGGGAGAGGCAACCTCGTGCACGTGGTTCGCTCTCTGTCCCTTCTGGGCCTGGGCATTGAGTGCCGACTTTACCCCATGTCCCCTTGTGAGCAAAACCGTCCAGAGTGGACCCCCAGCCAGCTCCACCATGAGGACACTATTCAAATAGACATTGCGTTGGGAAGCTGATCCGCTTGCCCGGCCGACATCTGGCGCGGGGGCCGTCGTCCTGAGCCGAGGTAATTTTCATTGGTCCGCTAACGAAGCTTGGACCACAGACGACTAAAAGGCGTGGTTCAGTTCCTGAGCGGAACCACCTAGGCCACCTCCAGGGGCGCGATGATCATCGCGCTTCGCGCGTCGCGGACTGGGCCAGGTGTTGCCAGGCAGGTTGCCCCTCTCCAAGGGGGCGGGGCGAGAGCGCGAGGGCGCAAAGATAGTCGCGCATCGCGCGCCCTGCAACTTGCGCGAGGCCAGGTGGCCCAGGAGCCACAGACGCGAAACCAGCTCCAGGGCGAGAAGCTCTCCTCCTCGCTGCTCCCCGCACCTCCTCGCTCCTCGCTCCTCCTCCGCCTCCCCTGCCTCCGTCGCTCACCCTGGCCCTTCCGCAGGACATCAGGACCCTCCTCGCCGACACGACCCACGCCGCAAGGGAGGCGTTCGGAAAACGGCAGTCGTCGCGGCTGGGCGTCTTCCCAAACGTCGACGACATGAAGGCGAAAGTGCGTACGTACGTACTGTCTCAGGACTACAACGTGAGCAACTTCTACAAGCAGGAGTCAGGAGGGGAAAAAACACAGACACAAGTAATCGTCGATTCCCCAGAAAATATGGGACAATATGGGAAGAGGGGGGAAGACAGAAACCCAGATCATGTTGGGAACATGTTGGGAATCGTTTTATTTGTGTGTGTGTTTATTTGTGTGTCCTAGGGCCCCTTCAAGGAGGGCCCTGCGCAGTTCATCGCGAGGAGCAGCGCCTTCGAGTACATTACCCTTACCGTCATCAGTCTGAACGCGCTCTGGATCTCGGTGGATGTGGACGAGAACACTTCAGTTGATCCCACAGAGGCATCGCTTTCGTTCCAGATCATGGACAATTTTTTCTGTGGGTATTTTTTCACCGAGTGGTTCATCCGCTTCGCCGCCTTCGAGCTGAAGAAGAACTGCTTGAGAGACCGCTGGTTTGTGTTCGACTCCTTCCTTGTCGGCCTAACCGTGGTGGACACTTGGCTCATGGAGAGGAGGGGGAGCGAAGACGAGGAGGGGAAAGGACGAGGACGGGGAAGATGGGAAGAAGAGGGCGGATGGGCGGCATAGGGAGGGTTGGATATGATGGGTGGTGATGAGGAGGACGGGGGATGAGGAGGAGGATTTGGGAGGCACTGGTCTTCATGTTCTTCAACGTGTCTTCTGGACCTGGCGACAGTATCTCCGTTCTACGTGTTTTTCGGCTTCTGCGGCTGACGAGGATTGTCTCTTTTGTGCGAGAGCCTCAACGACTGAAGTGGATGTGCCGTGCTATTGTTGTTGATCCTTTTTCTTCCATCCCCATCCTCCTCCTCTTCCTCGTCCTCCTCCTTCTCATCACCATCGTCATCATCACCACCACCACTATCACCACCACCATCACCACCATCACCATCTCCATCCTTACCACCATCATCCCCAACATCACCACCATCGCCATCACCATCACCGTCACCACCATCAGCATTACCACCATCAGAATCACCCCAACCAGTATCATTGCAATCAGCATCAGCATCATCAGCATCATCGGTATCCTCATCATCAGCAGCATCAGCATCAGCAGCATCATCAGCATCATAATCAGCATCATCCCTCCTCCATCCTTCTCCTCCTGCTCATCATCATCCTCTTCCTCATCATCATCATCATATTCATCATCAGCATCATCATCATCAGCATCATCATTATCATCAGCAGCATCATCAGCATCATCACCATCATCAGCAGCATCATCAGCATCGGCATCAGCATCGGCATCATCATCATCATCATCATCATCATCATCATCACCAGCATCATCATCATCATCATCATCATCATCAGCATCATCATCCTCATCACCATCGTCATCATCGTGCCTTCTCCCTCCTCCTATCCCTCCTCTCGCCCCCCCCCCTCGCCTCAGCTCCAGACTCGATGGGTATGGCGGCCGTTCGGCCTTCAAAGGCTCCAAAGCTGTTTTTTTGCGATTCCGCGTCGTCGTCCTCGTCGTTGGCCCCCTCCTTCTTCGTCTGCTCGTCCTTGTCCTCTGTCGTCCACTTCCGTCTCGTGCGTCTCGCATCGTCCTCCGAGAGCTATGTCTTCGTCATTCTCCTTCCCCTACAGGGGATCCATGCAGGGAGTCTTTTTGCTTGGGGTGCGACACAATCCGTTCGATGGGCGGATTACATTGAATTCGTCATGCTGGCGGGGAAACAAAAGAAATACAAGAAAAAAACAAAAATCACTCTACCGAGGAACCCCGCATACTTATATTATGGCTGGGGTGATGATAGCTGAAGTGAAGCATGTGAGAATGATGTTGGTGGCCGTTGCCCCGTCGATACCGCAAGGACGACCGTCACGGATAGCAGCCGCGCTCAGGGACCACCCCGTGCGCACCCCCTCTGGTGGCGAGAAAATGCCACGCCTGCTGTGCCCTGGACGACCGTCACGGATAGCGGCCGCGCTCAGGGACCACCCCGTGCGCACCCCCTGCGGTGTCGAGAAAACGCCACGCCTGCTGTGCCTTGGACGACCGTCACGGAAAGCGACCGCGCTCAGGGACCACCCCGTGCGTACCCCCTGTGGTGGCGAGAAAATGCCACGCCGGCTGTGCCCTGGACGACCGTCACGGGCCGCGCTCAGGGACCACCCCGTGCGCACCCCGCGTGGTGCCGAGAAAACGCCACGCCGGCTGTGCCCTGGACGACCGTCACGGATAGCGGCCGCGCTCAGGGAGCACCCCGTGCGCACCTACTGTGGTGTCGAGAACGCCACGCCGGCTGTGCCCTGGACGACCGTCACGGATAGCGGCCGCGCTCAGGGACCACTCCGTGCGCACCCCTTTTGGTGTCGAGAAAACGCCACGCTTGCTGTGCCCTGGACGACCGTCACGGATAGCGGCCGCGCTCAGGGAACACCCCGTGCGCACCCACTGTGGTGTCGAGAAAACGCTACGCCGGCTGTGCCCTGGACGACCGTCACGGATAGCGGCCGCGCTCAGGGACCACCCCGTGCGCACCCCTTTGTGGTGTCGAGAAAAAGCGCCACGCCGGCTGTGCCCTGGACGACAGTCACGGACAGCGGCTGCGCTCAGGGACCACCCCGTGCGCACCCCGCGTGGTGTCGAGAAAACGCCACGCCGGCTGTGCCTTGGACGACCGTCGCGGGTAGCGGCCACGCTCAGGGACCTTCCCGTGCGCATCTCCTTGTGGTGCGAAAAAACGCCACGCCGGCTGTGCCTTGGACGACCGTCACGGATAGCGGCCGCGCTCAGGGAGCACGCCGTGCGCACCCCTTTGTGGTGTCGAGAAAACGCCACGCCTGTTGTGCCCTGGACGACCGTCACGGATAGCGGCCGCGCTCAGGGACCACCCCGTGCACCCCTTGTGGTGTCGAGAAAAAGCGCCACGCCAGCTGTGCCCTGGACGACCGTCACGGATAGCGGCCGCGCTCAGGGAACACCCCGTGCGCACCCCTTTGTGGTGTCGAGGAAACGCCACGCCTGTTGTGCCCTGGACGACCGTCACGGATAGCGGCCGCGCTCAGGGACCACCCCGAACGCACCACTTGTGGTGTCGAGAACTCGCCACGCCTGCTGTGCCCTGGACGACCGTCACGGGTAGCGGCCGCGCTCAGGGACCACCCCGTGCGCACCCCTTTGTGGTGTCAAGAAAACGCCACGCTTGGTGCGCCCTGGACGACCGTCACGGATAGCGGCCGCGCTCAGGGAACACTCCGTGCGCACCCCGCGTGGTGTCGAGAAAACGCCACGCGTGTTGTGCCCTGGACGACCGTCACGGATAGACGAACACCACCCCGTGCGCACCCCGCGTGGTGTTGAGAAAACGCCACTGCTGTGCCCTGGACGACCGTCACGGATAGCGGCCGCGCTCAGGGAACACCCCGTGCGCACCCCTTGTGGTGTCAAGAAAACGCCACGCTTGGTGCGCCCTGGACGACCGTCACGGATAGCGGCCGCGCTCAGGGAACACTCCGTGCGCACCCCGCGTGGTGTCGAGAAAACGCCACGCGTGTTGTGCCCTGGACGACCGTCACGGATAGCGGCCGCGCTCAGGGACCACCCCGTGCGCACCCTTGTGGTGTCAAGAAAACGCCACGCCTGCTGTGCCCTGGACGACCGTCACGGATAGCGGCCGCGCTCAGGGAACACCCCGCGCGCACCCCGCGTGGTGTTGAGAAAACGCCACGCCGGCTGTGCCCTGGACGACCGTCACGGATAGCGGCCGCGCTCAGGGACCACCCCGTGCGCACCCCGCGTGGTGTCGAGAAAACGCCACGCGTGCTGTGCCTTGGACGACCATCACGGATAGCGGCCACGCTCAGGGACCACCCCGTGCGCACCCCCTGTGGTGTCGAGAAAACGCCACGCCTGCTGTGCCCTGGACGACCGTCACGGATAGCGGCCGCGCTCAGGGAACACTCCGTGCGCACCCCATTAGGTGTCGAGGAAACGCCACGCGTGTTGTGCCCTGGACGACCGCCACGGACTCTGGTGTAAAGTGCCACGCCTGCTAGGCCCTGCGCTCTCTGTGCTCAGCTGTGTTGTGTTGTGCTGTGCCGAGCTGAGGTGTGCTGAGCTGAGCTCTGCTCTGCTCTGCTGAGCTGTGGTGTGCCGTACCGAGCTGAGCTGTGCCGTGCTGTGCTGAGCTGGGCTGTGCTGTGTTGTACCGTGCTGAGCTGGGCTGTGCTGAGCTGTGCTGAGCAGTGCTGTGCTGTGCTGTGTTGAGTTGTGCAGGTGTGCTGTGCTGTGTGAGAAGGAGAGGGAGGGAGGTGTGAGTGAGACGCGGGTGCGCCGTGGCAGGGAAGAAAACCAGATCCCCACTAAGCATGTGGGGAACAATAACTCAAAGACCGACAGCTGGAACACCAAACACACAAAAAACAAAAAGAAAAAAATGATTTCAATACTTGGTGGAGGAGGCGCGGTGTGGGGGCGGACGAAATATTGACATCCCCGTTTTTGTTTAAATTGTGTCTCGTGAGTTCCTAGCGTTTTTGTTGGTTTTCCAGCCGTCGGTCTTTGATGTCTTCGATTTTCGTGGTTGTTCATTGTGTTTTCTGGGTGTGTTTTTGTTCGCTCCCCTCGTCCCCTTTGCGGAGCGGGCTGCCGGAGGGGAGGAGCAGGAGGAAACGGGGGGTGGGGGGAGGGACAGGAGGAAGGGGAGGAGGGGGAAGGGAACCCCGGAAGAGGGAACGAACCCCCAGGCCTTCCCAACGGAGCCACAACAGGATCCACAGCAGAACCAACAATTTCTCGGAAGTCTTCCGTGCGAAAGAAGAGGGGGCAACGGGATGAAACGGAGGAAGAGTGCCGCGACCGAGGGGCATCCATTTATGGATGCCCTTTTTTACCGCATGAACGCTCAGGACGGAAGGCGGCGGCATCGATGCCACGCAGGCAACCAACAATTGGGGAACCCAAAACATGGGTTCCCCGCACCACGCCCGAAAACAGTGCCACTGTTGCACGTGTTCGGTCGCGCACTTTGGAGTGCTGGAAACCAGCTGCTTGACTCAACGCGTACGGGCTCAGTGGTGCACACAGGCGTTGCGGTGTGTGGGGGGCTCTGTGGTACAAGGAGGCACTGAGTGTGACAGCGGCATTGCGGTGCGCACGGCCGATGCGAGATACGACAATCGTTGTGGCGTAGACGACCCTCATGTGCACTTGGCGGTTGCCGTGTAAGCGGGCGCAAGGGACCTTTCGCGCAGCAGTGTGCGTCATGCGGCATTCCTCAGATCGTAGTTCTTTTGGGCTCAATATCAGCAGCGCGCTTGCGCCTTCTGGTAATTGTAATGGCAATGACAATGACACTGGTAGTGGTGGTGGTTATGGAAATGGTACTGGTACTAGTAATGGCGATGGTGATGGTAATGGCAATGGTAATGGCCATGAAAATGGCAATGACAATGGCAATGGTAATGACAAGGGTCACGCTAATGGTTATAGTTATGGTCATGGCAATGGCAATGATAACGGCCGTGTCAATGGTAATGGCCGATGATGGTAATGGCAATGTGCATGGTAATATCCACGGCAACGGTAATGGCAATGGTAATGGCTGCGGCAACGGCAATGGCAAGCGCAGACAATTGCAATGGCAATGGCACTTGCACTAGCAATGGCAATGGTAATGAGAATGGCAATGGGAATGGTAATGGTAGTGGTCATGGTAATGGCACTGGTAACCGTAACGGTAGTGGCGATGGCAATTGCAATGGTCATGGTCTTGGCAATGGCCTTGGTAATGGTAATGGTAATACTAACGGTAGTGGTTATGGCAATGGTAATGACAATGGCAACGGTAGTGGCAATGGCAAAAGGCAATGGCAATGGTCATGGTAATGGACATCGCAATGGCAATGGCAATCGTAATAGTAATGGTAACGGTCGTGGTAATGGTAATGGCAATGGCAGTGGCAATGGCATTTGCAATGACAATGGCAACGGTCGTGGCCATGGCAATGGCAATGGCGATGGCCATGGTGACGGTCATGGTCATGGTCATGGCAGTGACAATGGCCGTGGCAATGGACATGGTCATAGCAATGGAAATTCAATGGTAATGGTAAAAGTAATGGCAATGGCAGTGGTAATGGTCATGGTAATGGTAATGGTCATGGCCATGGTGATGGTAATAACCATGGCAATGGCAATTGTGGTAACGGTATTGGCAATGGTAATCGCTTTGGCAATGGCAATGGCCATGGCAATAGTAATGGGAATGGATGGCAATGGGAATGGTAATGGCCATGGTAATGGTCATGTTCATGGTCATGGCAATGGCAATGGCAATGGTCATGGTCATAGCAATGGTAATAGTAGTGGTGATGGTGATGGCAACGGCAATTGTGACGGCAACGGTAGTGGCAATGGCAATGGTAATGGTCATGGTAATGGCAATGGTAATTCGAAAGGCAACGGGGGTGGCAATGGCAATGGTAACGGTAATGGTAATGGTAATGGCAATGTCAACGGCAATGACAATGACAATGGCCAGGGTAATGGCAACGGTAATGGCAATGGTAATGGCAATGGCAATATCAAAAGGAAATGAGAATGGCAATGGCAGTGGTAATGGTCATGGTCGAGTCATGGTAATAGCAATGGTAACGTTTATGATCATGGCAATGGTAATTGCAATGTCCGTGGGTGATGATGATACAAAGGAGGAGGAGGAGGAGCAGGAGGAGGAGGAGGAACAAGAGGAAGGGAGAAGCACCGAGCTGGGAGGAGGGCCGAACGGCCGCCATACCCATCCAGTGTTGCGCCCTCGCCTCCCTCCCCCCTCTGTGGCCAACTTGGCTCAGATTTGAGCGGGCTCACGGAAGGCCCTCGCGTCGGTGCGTGCCCGTTGGGCGCCCGGGTGCGGGGCCAGGATGGCCACCGAGGCAGGCGGGGAACAACGGCAGAACAATGCCGAGAGATGCGCGCGCAGCCGGTGGCGCTGAAGCGGGTTGCACGTGAGAGTGGCCCTGCGCTGGGGTGACGTTCAGTTCGGGCCCGAAGGGGTCCCCCCAGCTTCGGCTGGCGCGCTTGGGTCTGGCCACCACGCGGCCCCGCCGAAGCCGCACACCAAAGATCACGCCTGCCGAGGGCCACTTCTTGCTTGCAGGCGATGAAGCGCAAGGGCCAGCCCACCCTGCCGAGGACGAGGAGGAGGAGGAGGAGGAGGAGGAGGAGGAGGAGGAGGACGAGGACGACGAGCCGGCGAATTGGATGGGCGCACGCTGCCCCATCGTGGGGGCCCAGAAGTTACGGAGCGTCCTCTCGGCGGAGGAGGCGCCTCGCTGGTGGGCCACTGCCTGGTGGGCGCGTTCCCCGCTAGAGAGCCCCAATTCGAAAGAGGAACCCCAGCACGCACCACGAAGAGTGCAGAACTTGCACACCCAGCCCGATGTCGCTGTCTCGCCCACGGAGCTTTTGGGGGCGCCATAGCCCATGGCTACACGGACTGCCTCGCGGTCGGCGAGGCCGTGGTGGGCAGAAATTGCCAGGCCTCGAGACACCTTGCCTGCCGCGGATCAGCGGTGCCCGTTTCCTGCCCAGGGGGCAGAGACGTCTTGAGCCAAAATGGCCACGGACCCCGGGAAGGACCATCGGAGAGGGCGTGCGGTCAGGACGGTAAGTCGGTCCCCCAGTCAGCGTGCAGCCAGGACCACCGGAGAGCTCGAGCCACACGGGGAAGGACCATCGGAGAGGGCGCGCGGTCGGGACGGTAAGTCCGTCCCCCAGTCAGCGTGCAGCCAGGACCACCGCAGAGCTCGAGCCGCACTGGGGAGGACCACTGGAGAGGGCGCGCGGCCGGGACGCTGCAGGAGGGGCCGCTGCGGGCCCCGGAGGGGCTCTGGTCTTCGGGCCGCTCCTCGGATCCACACTGCGGAGTCTGCAGTCAACGCGCTTACTGCAGGTTCGTGTCGTGTCGACCCTGGCGTTGGTTCCCGACACCGCGCTGGATCGTTCAACCTTGAACGATCGGCCGTCTCCGCAACGTCCGATCGTTCAACACCGACCGATTCTGGGCCGCCGTCGGCGTTCAACGTTGAACGTCGGCGGCGGGGTCGCCGCCGGTCGACACGACGCGAACCTACCGTAGTGGGCCCCGGAAACGCCAGGCCCGTTTTTTTTTTCCGGTTCCGTTTTGCCGTTGTCTTGCCGGTTCCGACGCCGTTTTGTTTTTTCCGGTTCCGTCGCCGTTTTTGTTGACCGGTTCCGGCTCCAGGTCCAATCCTGGAGCCGTTTTTGTTGCCGTTTCCATTTCCAAGGGGCACATTTTCGGAAACGGTAGAAAAAACGGCCCTGCCGTTTCCGGGGCCCACTAAGTCAACGCGCACAGTAAGGACAAACGACTTTTTCAAGGGTGCCCTTGGGTCCTTCGCCTGCCTCAGCCTCTGCGGCCCGTCCCTGGCAGTTTTCGCGGGCCAGTGTCTCAGGTCGCCCTGGGGGTTTGGCCGCCTGCCGCCCAGGATACTTCAGCTTCGGCCCCCAAGGGTCTTGCGTCCTTACCACGCGTCGTTCCTACACGTTTCCACTGTACTCGGGGCCGAGGCTCGCCGTGGCCGGGAACGCCCCTTCCTTCCTTGTCCCGCGCTCCACGTGGCAGCACGACGAGACTCTGCGGTAGCTCCGCGTCGTGCCGACCATCGGCGACCCCGCCGCCGGCGCTCCACGCTGAACACGCCGACGGCGACACACAGTCCGCCGATGTCGAGAACGATCCGACGTTTCGGAAGCGGCCGCGGTGACAGAAGTCGGGAGGAAAGGAAACACACAGACACAATTAATCCTCGATTCCCCAGAAGATCTGGGGAAATATGGGACGTGGGGTGGAAGACGAAAACCCCCAAAAATATGGGAAAATATGGGGGATCATTTTATTTGTGCGTATTTATTTGTGTGTCCCAGGGCCCCTTCAGCGGTGACACAAGGCGAGGACCCCCGCGGTGTGAGCAGCCGACGCCGAGGCCGGCGCGGCACGCGCCGTGCCGCGGGAGGGGCAAAGCAGCGGCATCGGGGCGAGGCGGGCTTCTCTCCCCCCAGGATGGCGCGGATGGTGCGCCTGCTGCGCGCCGCCCCCGAGCTGATGATCCTGGTGCGCGGCATGGCCGCCGCCTCCCGCTCCGTGGCGCTCACGCTGGCGCCACCCCGCCCCGCGCGCGGCCGACGCCGCCGCGGCGTCGGCTCGTCGGCTCGGCGTTCGTCGTCCTCGCCGCCGTCGCCGTCGTCCCCCCCCCCCTCCTCCCCCTCCTCCCCCTCCGCCCCCTCCTCCCCTTCCCCATTCGTCTCCTCCTCCTCCTCCTCCTCCTCCTCCCTCCTCCTCCCTTCCTCCTCCTCCTCCTCCTCCTCCTCCTCCTCATCCTCCTCATCCTCCTCCCCTTTCCTCCTCCTCCTCCTCCTCCTCCTCCTCCTCCTCCTCCTCCTCCTCCTCCTCCTCCTCCTCCTCCCCCCCTTTCTCCTCCTACTCCTCCCTCCCTCCTCCTCCTCCTCCTCCTCCTCCTCCTCCTCCTCCGACTGCTCCATCCTCCCTCCGCTCTCCTTGTTCCTCTTATTTCCTGCTCCTCCCCTTCCCTTCCGTCCCACTCGATGATACTCATCGGCTTTCGGCCTTTCCCGTCACCGTGCGTGCGTTGTGGGTCCAGGCGCAGGGGGAGTGATTGTAGACCGTAACGTTTTCCGGACTCTTCGCGTGACCGCACCAGCCCATTCAGAAACGATGCCGCCCTGGCGAGTTGCCCTGATCAGAGGTGTGGAGGAGCACGCAGTGGAATACAAAGCTGGGAAGTGACCCCAGGAGTGAGACGATGGAGGAGGAATCGGAGGAGGGGGAGGGGGAGAAGGGAGGAGGGGGGAGGAGGAATAGGCGGATGAGGAAGTAGACGAGGAGAAAGAGGAGGAGGAGGAGGAGGAGGAGGAGGAGGACGAGCAGAAAGGCCAGAGTCCTCTTTGATGCCTCTCGGATTTGCTTCGGGCGTCTCTTGAGAGCTTCTTAGGGTCGTCGTGGGGCGTCTTGGGGGCCTCTTGGCGGTCCCAGGGGCCTCTAGTAGCGTCATGGGTGTTTCGGGGGATCTTCCTGGGGCTTTGGGGGGATCTCTTGGGAGCCTCTTGGGGACCTCTTGGGGATCTCTTGGGGCCTCCTGGGCGCCTCTTGGGGCCTTGGGGGACACTCTTGGAAGCCTTGGTGGGCCATCTTGCAGGAGCTCGGTCAAAGAAGAGGGGGGGACTCAATGATGTGTGCATTCTTGCTGAAACTTTCTTGGACGCGCCCCCTCCAGGCCCAGAGGGAGGGGGGAGGGGCAGTGATAAACCCCTCCCCGAAGTGGAAGAAGAGGGTTGGAAGAGGACGCGCGCTAAACCCGAACAGCTCCTGTGGAGGGCTCTTCGGAGAAGTCCTTGTGGAGGGTTCTCGAACAGCCCCTACGGAGGGCTATGAAGAGGATGGTTGGGGTAAAAGCTGCTTCCCAGAATGTGGCCTCTTGGAGGCCTGCTAGCAGCCTGTGGGGGCCACTAAGGTGGCCTAAGGGGGGCATCTGCTTTCTTGGGGTCTCCTCGAGGGCCCATTGGGGGCTCCAAGGGAGCTGGCTGAGGGCCAAGGGGCCGTATTGGAGCATGCCCAGGTCCATTGTAGAGCCGTTCTGGGGTCTCATTCAGAGGGCTTCGCTGGATCCTTTGGAATGTTTATTTGCGCCCAATGGGAGGTGTCTGGGCCAGATGCGAAAGTCTTAGATCCGTCTTAGGGCTGTCGTTGAGGCCAAATTAATGACGCTTTGAGGCCATCTTGCTACATACTGGGGGCTGTCTTAATGGTTATCTTAGGGGCCTCCTTGGCCGTCTGAATGCTTCCTCTTGGGGGCCTTTTGGACTTCTCGGGGGGCTCAGAAGCCCATCGTGCGGCCAGCTTGCGCTGGGAACTTGCTGATTTGTCCGATTTGGGCGTTTAGGGCATATTGTGGGGCATATTTGGATCTTGGAGCTTCTTCGGGGTCCTCTAGGGCAGACAAGGGCCAGCGCGTGGCCATCGTGGTCTATCCTGGACCGTCTTGGGCGGTTTGGGGATCGCCAGGGGGTGGGGAGCAATTTCGGGAGGTTCTGAGAGGCTGGGTGGCATGGCCTTGATGAGCTGGGCTTTCCTCCCTGCCCCTCAAACGCGATTCTGGTCATCAGGCGAGAGGGATGACCCGGGGGAGGGGGACAGCCAATCCTTTCGCACGCCCTCAGACTCTTGGCACGCGGGGGCTAGGGAAGGAGCGGGGATAGCAATGTCTCTCGCTGGCCGCCCCCCATCAGATCCCAGCATCACGGCGAATTCACGATAGGCCAATGCACAGGCTACGCGTAGGCCTACCAAGCGCCTGCGCCTAGGCTTATTATTGTCAGGCGATCGCAAACCATGGATTAGCGACGGGGCCCGTTTCAATGGGAAATCACGGATTTCCGCCGCCGAATCAGGCGGCACCGGCCGCATTTTTGGGAGGGCACCTCCCCCGATCCATGGATTTGGCGACCGCGCGCCAAGTCCATGGATCGCGAATCCATGCCTGCGCGCCCCCGAGATGCGGCCTACCGGTAGTCGACGCACAGGCCCACCCTCCTGCTGCAGGCCTGCTGGCAGTCTGTGCACGGCCCCACCAGAGGCCCATGAGCACGACTGACTGCCGGGAGCCTCACCCCAAGCAGCATCGAGCGAAGAACGGTATGAAATAAACTTTCCGCCGTCGGAGACACCTGCCCCTGGGCGGCTGGAAAGTTTATACCCCTACGGTGCCACCGTGAGGGTATAAACTTTCCAGCCGCCCTGGGACAGGCGCCCCCGACAGCGAAAAAGCTTATGTTACACCGTTCTTCGCCCGTTAGAAGCAGGGCCCCGCTCGCCTCTCTGGCGCGGGGCGCCCCCTCGCAGGGCGCCGCGGTCTGCGAGGGGGGCGCCGGCGTGGTCGGCCCCGCGGGCGGGTGCCGGGCGTCGTGGGCCTCCCGCCCCCCTCCCCGCCCTTGCCGTCGTTTTTGTTCCCCTGCGCTCCCTCGTCGTCGTCCTCCTCGTCCTCATCCTCCTCGTCCTCCTCGGCGTCCTCCCTCTCGGCCCCCGCGGCGGAGAAGAGCAGCTGGGGTTCTCCTCGGGTCGTTGCGTGATGTGGGCCTCCAGGGCTCTGGACCCCCTCGGCGGAGGGGCGGGTTTTCATACCCCCGGTCGCCGTTTCTTGCCTGCCTAAGGTCGGGGGAGCGTAAGACCCGGGTTTGCCGGGACTCGGGTTCGCCGTCGTTTTTTGACGACCGCGACTCGGATTTTGACGAGGAGGAGTTTCGTGGGATGTCTGCAGCGGGAGGCCTCGTCAAAATGCAGGCTCGGCTTCGTCATTTTTTTGACGACCTCGTCGGGGATTTCCGAGTCCCCCGTACCCGGGTCTTACGTCTCCCCGATAAGGGCACGAAGAGCTGGGCCCCCGGAGGCCCAGCCAAACCTCGTCGCACCGCCGGCCACGCGAGGCGCGCCGGACGCGCGCGGGAGCGCCTGCGCCGAGCTCTGTGGCCCGCCCTCTGGCAGAGCAGCGCTGGCCTCGCGAGGTGGGCCGGGCGCGCCGGCTGGGCAGGCTGGGAGCGAGCCTCCGCGCTGGCCGCGCGGGGTGTGCGCGCGAGCGCGCGGGCACGCGCGGGAGGGGCGCGCGCCGAGCTCTTTCGGAGGGGCCGTGGCCCGCGCCGGGCACCGTCGGCGCTGGGGCGAGCAGGGAGGCAGCGAGGGCCCTCGTGCCCGTGGCGCCCGTCGGGCCCCCGTCGCGCAGGGTCGGGCCGGGCGAAAGGGGGGGGGATTGGTCGGGAGCCTCGAGACGGGGGTCAGTGCAAACGGGGGTCAGCCAGAGCGCCCCGACCTTGCAGGATCCTGCAGGGCCAGGGTCGCATTGACCCGGGTTTGGGTGCAGGATCCTGCAGGATCCTGCAGGATCCTTCGCATTGACCCGGGTTTGGGTGCAGGATTTTGCAGGGTTTTGCAGGATCCTGCAAGGCCTGACTGACCCGGGTCTGGATTGACCCGGGTCAGAGGACCCCCGAATTGGGAAAGAGGGGGTTACGAAGGTTGCTGCAGGCAGCTGGTTTCGGCCTCACCGAGGGGCCCATTCCTCGATGCATCGCCGCCTCCGGCGCCGGGAGGCGCCGGGAAAATCAGCTACGTGAGCTGATTCTCAAACCCCCCCCCTTTGCTATCCCCCCCTTTCGCCCGACCCGACAGAGGCAGAGGTGCTCGAGTCCAGGCCCCCGCGCCAGTGCGCTGGCGAAGCGACGTCGACCCCGTCGGTGCGCGCCAGCCGCCGCAGAGGCCAGATTCCTCGGGCCCGTGCGCGCGGACGAGGTGAGGCGGCCTCCAGTCGGGGGGGGGCTCCGCACGCTTACCAAGAGAGTCGGAGCAGGCAAGCCCAGCCAGGGAAAGATGTCGTGGCGTCGGATGGGCGGGGGGCCCCATCCCGCCTCGGCCTCAGCCGTGGCCTCCCTTGTGCAGAAGGTGGCGGCGGCGGCCCTGGGAAAGGACGCCTCGGGAGACGTGGCCGAGGGTCTTCGTCCACTGGCCAATCGGTGCATCCCTCGCCTCCCTTCACTCTGTCGCCAGTGCCCCCAGGTAATGATGACGGTGGTGATGGTAATGGTAGTGGTGATGATGATCATGATGATGGTGGTTATGGTGATGGTGATGGTGATGGTGCATGTGATGAGGATGAGGATGAGGATGACGATGACGATGACGATGACGACGATGACGATGACGATGACGATGATGATGATGATGATGATGATGATGATGATGATGATGATGATGATGATGATGCTGATGCTGATGCTGATGCTGATGATGATGATGATGCTGATGATGATGCTGATGATGATCATGATCATGATCATGATGCTGATCATGATCATGATCATGATGATGGTGGTGGTGATGATGATGATGATGCTGATGATGATGATGATGGTGGTGGTGATGATGATGATGATGGTGGTGGTGGTGGTGGTTTGGCAATGCTCGAGTATTTCTCGTTTAGTTTGGGACGAACGCATCAGTTTTGCATCTCTGCTGGGACTTGATGTGCAGATACGTGCGCTCAGGTGCTGCTCTCAGGGATCATCTACATATACGCGATTATCTTCAGGCAGGTCACGGACGGCACCGCCATCGGGGACCAGTATTTCAGGTCCATCCCCGCGTCGATGTCGTCGCTTCTCCTGAGAGCCACCCTGCCCGACATGGGCGAGATCCTGGAGGATACGGGGAACTCGCACATTCTTCTGGGAATGATCATGCTCTCGTTCATTCTTATGGCCACTTTGACCGTCCTTAATATGTTAGTCGGTGTACTCGTAGAGGTCGTGAGTGTCGTGGCGACTGTCGAGAGGGAGGAACTCACAATGGCTTCAGTGAAGTCGAACATGGAGCGTCTCTTCGAGATGACGGGCCTGGACGTGGACTCGAATAGTTGTGTCAGCAGGCTGGAGTTCGAGAACCTCCTCGAAATACCAGAAGCCGTCAAGATGATCCACGAGGTCGGAGTGGACGTGGTAGGCCTCATAGATTACGCGGACATGATCTTCGAGGGCTACCAGAAGGAGCTCTCCTTTGCAGAGTTCTTCGACGTGCTGCTCAGCCTCAGGGGGAACAACGCCGCCACAGTCAAGGACATCGTTGACCTTCGCAAGTTTGTCTACTCGACGATGTCCGGTGAGTTCCAGCAGGCCAACAAGGCAGGGATCTTCAGCTCGAGGTCTTCGGGGCGAGCGGGGCCCTCGCAGGGGATGCGGAGCATCGACAACCCTCCGTCGCCAGCGGAGGCGGGGGAGCTGACTGCCCAGACGACGTCCGTCAGCCAGGAGAGCGTGTGAAGGTGAGCACCTGGAGACCACTGATGCACTCTCGCATCCAATGCCCCCCCCATCTCCCGTATCCTCTCCCTCGCCCTCTCTGTTCTTGTTCTTCTCCCTCTCATTATCCCTTTCTTTCCTGCGGTCTCTCATATTATGTTGTTTTGTGTTTTGTGTAATCTTTCTCCCTCGCTCACTCTCTCTCTCTCTCTCTTCCACCAGCATCCCATCAGATCATCGTCACCATCATCACCAGCAACAGCAGCAGCACAAGCAAGATCATTGTCATCACCATCATGATCACCATCATCATCAACAACAAAAACCACACCATCATCAGCATCAGCATCATCCTCAATATCAGCATCATCCTAAATATCAGCTTCGCAAATGAGCGGCATCGGCATAGCCATCATCATCATCATCATCATCATCATCATCATCATCATCATCATCATCATCATCGTAATCAGAATCATCAGCATCATCATCATCATCATCGTCGTCGTGATTATCATTGTCATCACCGGCATCCCTATCATGATCCGATGGTTTCGAGGAGGCGTCCGAAGGCATCTTCCAGGGGACGTCTCGAGCGAAACGCTTACCAGTAGACACAGGTGTACAGACAAGCGTACGGTTTTCAGAGAGAACGGAGCAGGGGGCACAAGGAGGGGCTCCCGCTGGACGCTTCCCTCGCGCGTCACTCGCAGGCGAGCGCCCAAAACATTTGTTCAGGCTCGTCCAGAACGAGGATCCGGCTCGAGACTTCCTCGGGACACAAGCTCTCAACATCCCGACGGCCGCCCTGAATTCGAGCATGGAGGGGGACTTCATGAGGAAGGAGCTCCCGCTCGAGACTTCCTCGCGATTCACTTGCAAACGAAACTCCCGCTCGGAGCATCTTCTCAATTGGTGACGCTTCGCGCATCCCCACCAGCCACCCTGTTTTTCCTTCGCAGGTGGCATAGCCTGCCCTTGTTTGCCTGGGGTCCGACTTGATTCGCGCGTCTGCGTACCCAAAAGTATCCCCTACCAGCCCATCCAGAAACGATGCCCATGAGAGCTGACAGGGGGAGAGGAAGAGACACGCGTAGTCAAACAGCGAGAGGCCTCCTGGGGAGGCTCCGTGGCCATCTCGAGCCGTCTCGGAGCGGTCTGGGGGCATCTTGGAGCATCTTGGGAACCATCTTGAGCCAGCTTGGGCTATATCGAGCCATCTTGTGTGGAGGTCATCTTGGGCTCTCTGAGGCCGCTCGGGGGCCTCTTGGGTGTCTCTCGGGTGCCTCTTGGAGGCCTCTTGGGGCTTCTTGGGGCGCTCTTGGATCTCTCTTGGGGGCCTCTTGGGAGCCCTGGAGAGCCTCTTGGGGCCATATTGGAGGTGGTCGGTCAAAAGATGGGGGGTCCTCGATGCAGCTCCCCCCCTCGGGGGCCACGATCCTCGTGAGGGGTGTGAAAAAGTGACCCTCCCAGGGGCCGAGAAATGACCATCTGACACATCGGGCCCCCTCCAACAAAAAAAACAGGGAGGGCAGGGGGAGGGTTCCCCTCCCCGAAGGGAAGAGGGGTCGTGGAAGAGGAAAGAGACCCTCGTTAGACAACCGGTCGCCCAGAGGGCTGGTGGGATTAGCTCATGAACGAGGAGGCTCTCAGTTTGGATTTTCCCGGGGTCCAGGCTCCCAGATCTCACGACACCAGTACTTGTATAGGATCTTCCGATGGCCCCTCAGATTCGAACATGGAGCTTGTGACCTCATTGGGAGGAGCCTCTTGCTTGAGACTTCTTCGCGATTCATTTACAGACGAGTGGGGGCCAGAGAAGCCCTCGCGATTCATTCACGAACGGGTGGGCGCCCGAGAAGCTCTCTCGGGAACGAGGCTCCCGCTCGAGACTGCGTCGGGATTCGAGCCCCCCGGCGTGTCACCAGATCTCTGCGTCCGCAGGGTGTTTGGCTGGCCGCCCCGGGCTCGAACACGGAGCCGGGGACCCCACAGGGAGGGGCTCCCCCGCTCGAGGCCTCCTCGCGATGCCACGCCGAAGCGAAGGAGCGCCCGAGGGCCTGCTCTCTGGAACGGGGCGGCCGCCCGAGACCGCGTCGGGAGTCGGGCTCCCGGGCGTCACCAGACCTGTGTGCTCTTCGTGTCGAGGTGGCCGCTTCGGACTCGAGCATGGGCCAGGCGACCCCGCAGGGAAGGGCTCCTGTTCGAGACGTCCTCGCGGTTCTCTCGCAGGCAGTGCCCCCGCTCGAGATTTGCGCATGACGAGTGTGCGAGTGAGTGAGTGAGTGATTGAATGCATGAGTGAGTGTGCATGCGATGATAGCGATGGTGATGGTGATGATGATGGTGATCGCATCCTCCCCAATGCGCAGGTTCTCCTCTGGTAAGGGCCGCCCTCGTGGCCTTCCTCTTCTTGGCGATAGCGCGGGGGAGGGGGAGGGCACGGATACACTTCGGCCCCCACCAGTCATGCGCCCGAGGTTTGCTGAAAATGGTTCAACCGAGGTCGACTTCCAGCCCATTCGGTAATGTGCACAACACCCTATCTTCAAGAGAGCAGTCGTGACGAGTGCGGGGGGAGACGGGGGCAGGGCGGGCGAGGGACAGAAGGCACAGCAGGGCATTCGAAATAATAGAGAAATCTGCCCTCTCCCGCGGCGCGGCATCCGCATTTGCAGGGGTGTTCGCCTTGTCTTTACCTGGCAGACCTGGACCAGGCATTACAAGCGTTTACAGGCACGGGGCCCAGGCATCGAATGCATCTCGTTCTGCACAAGCTGAGCTTGAGGACGCGGTCGACCTTGCTTTCGTTGCAGTGCGGACAGGCATGGCGGACCTTCGGCGTGACCGAGAAGGCGGCAGGCCTAAAAGGGATTCTGACTCTATGTTTGTTAGCCACCTCCCTCTGGAGCTCGCGCGTGTCCTCGTCGTAGAGGTCATCCACGACAGAGCCGTCGAGCATTCACATCTTTGCATCGTGTTCATGGCCATACTCCGTTCGGAGAAACGGGTGACGGCGAAAACGGCCAAACCATCTTGTTGGAGCCTGCGAAATCTGGCGCGAACGGCATCGACTAGCCGCGAACGGATGGTAACTCGAAATTGGCCGTTCCGTTTTCCAGCGGAAGTGGCCGAGAAGGCACAGGAAAACACAGGCAATCGAGGTTGACCAAGAGTGCGAAAAGCAAGCTGTAGTTTTGGCGAAATGGCAAGGTCTGATGTTTTCCTGTTCGGTGCTAGGCATTGGAGGTTATGCGAAACGTGGGGACGGACAAGGTGGAATAATTGTACGTGTGTACATTCGTCCGACAACAACAAAAAACACGAATGTACCGCAAGCGCCCTGAATATTTCTGAGCGGGCACCTCCCAGGTCTGTGAGTGCCCCAAGAGTTTCCCAGATGTGTTTTGCTGAAGGGTTCGAACATTAAGGCGAACACGCCGAAAGAAAGCCTGGTGCTCATCCGCGGGATTCCTCGCGCACACGATCATGCTCTGGCCCGAATCAGGCAACCAACCCGTGCACTGGCTGGCACGGATGACGGTATTCAAGACCATTGGTACGGTAGAGCAAAGATCGGCACTTGAATTCTGGATATCGTCGGCGAAAGCCCCAGGGTGATGGCTGAAGGCGTGACTTGCTTGTCCAGATGCAGAGAGCAAAGAGGGCCCCTGACAGTGGACAACCTTGTTTGATACCTCGTGCTATTTCGTATCCAGGGAAGTTTGTATTGTTCGGCATGCCGCGGAAACAAACATATTGTAGTGGCCTCCGGCCAGTGCCGCCGATCCGGGACGCTTCTGTTGTTGCCGAAAGCGCACGATGGCGGTCATGACCGGCGACGACGGCGAGCGGTCAGGATGATGATGAGGATTGGGAATGGAGGCGATGGAGTAGGATGAGAAGAGGAGGAGGAGCAGGAGGAGGAGGAGGAGGAGGAGGAGGAGGAGGATCCTGATGAGGTGGAAGGGGGTCGGTGGGGGGGGGCAGGAGTAGCAGGATGTTGAGGATGAGGGGGAGCAGGAGGAAGCGGGAAGTGGAAAAGGGGGAGGGGGAGAAGGAGGAGCATGACGAGGATGAGGAGATTTTCTGCGATTCTTGGAGATTGTCGGCGGTTGTTGGAAAGCTTCTTTGGGGCCAGGTGTTGGCCCTCTTTGGGTTGACACCTCGCCGATTTGGCGCTGTCTCTGAAAAGTTTTGCGCTAGAGCTGTCTGCGTCGCAGTTATTTTGGAGCCTTGTGCATCACCGGTCTCTGCTGGGAACCGTGGTGTTTTGGGGGTCTCTGGGGCCTTCGTGCGGTCCTCTGCGGGCCCCTGTGAGATCATGGATGTGAAGGACACCGAAGACGGGATAATATGCGAAAACGTGGAACAACCTTTTGTATTGCAGCGCTTGTGTTCAGACGTAAGCGCTGTGGAAGCATTGGGGCCGGTAGTGGGCTTCTCGGGGGGAGTCGTGGGGGCAGTTTGGAGACCTCTAGAGGGCGTCTTGAATGCATTATTTGATATTCCTGGGGGCCTCCAGAGGGGATTCAGGGTTTCTTTTTCGGGGCCAGATGGAAGCGTCTTGGGGCCTCCTCAGGCCTCTTGGGGGCCTTTGGGGTCCTGCTGGAGGCTTCTTGGGTTTCGGCACTTGTTTCGCCGTTTCGGCGCCCTCTCAGGCGCCTCTCGGGCGCGTCCTGAGGCCATTTGGGACCTCTTCCGTGGGCGTCCTGGGCCATCTTGGGCCCTTTCTGGGCCGTTTGGGCCGTGTTTCTTGGGCCGTGCTCTGGCACGAGTCAGGCAACCAACCCGCGCATTGGGTGGCACGGATGACGGTAGTCAAAAACCATTTGTACGGCAGGGCAAAGATCGGCAATTGAATTCTGGATATCGTCGGCGAAAGCCCTGGGGTGATGGCTAAAAGCGCGACTTGCCTTTTCCACATGCGAAGTGCGTGCGAAGAGGGCCCCTGACAGTGGACAACCTTGTTTGATACCTCGGGCTATTTCGTAGCCAGGGAAGGATTTGCTGTTCGGCAT